AAATGTATTGTATCCATACTTACCACTTTATCGAGACTTTAAATCTCCAAAAGGTCTTAATTTAAAACGTACACGCGTGCAGCCTGGCAGATACGCGGAGAGAATTTTCTCTTAAATTTATCCTGTGAAAATCATGTGATCGTGGGGTAACATGGCATTTTGAAGATCTTTGGGAGGGTTTTTTGAAATTTTACCATGCATTTCGCTAGTAATTATACTTGGTATACATTTTGCTAGTAAAATGCGTTGGTAAAATTTCAAAAAACTCACATAAAATTCTTCGAGATGCCATGTTATCCCGCGATTACATAATTTTCAGGAGAAATGTTGAAAGAGAATTCTCTCGGTGTACTTAAACAGAGCGAATGTAGTAAAGCTTTTACGGGTGTTACGGGGGACGCGTTTCATGTCAAATTCTGCACGGTAACAATAGCATTTTCGCATGCATCGCATTACACTGATTGATGCATCTCCGCAGACATTAAAGCCGCGAATGCGTGCGTGCTTAATCCACAGATAAAATTCAAACGGGCAAACGATTTACATCCGGTCCGAGGTATTTCCAGCCCGCTGGCCGGCTGCTGAATAATTCGACCTATTTTGTGCCATCCGGCGGCGTTATGAATAATCGTTCCATCGTCAGTTCGTTGTGTAAGGATCGGGACACACGTGCGGGCTATCTACATGGCCGCCGGAAGCATACCCAGCAAATTGAACTCCTGCAAGTTCAGAAGCAACACAAAGGGTATTATCCGATGAATCGGCCGTCCCCCGTAATCCTGGTCCTGCCTTGCCCCCTCCTGAAGGGGCCAGCGTAATCGCTTTACATGGTCAGTCGAGAGCAAAACAGAAACGTTAAACCCGATCGATCTCCCCTTCCCGGCCCGAGACGGCGCGTCCAAGGGCGCGAAGGACGGACTTCGGGGAATTCGTCCTCATATGATTGCACTTGACATATTTTAGCCGCTGCCTCGTAAGATTTAGAAACGCCGGCGAATCCAATTAAGGGAGCCGGACTTCGCGCCCTCCCATCGCCCTGAGCACCGCCCGCGATCGAAAGTGGACTGTAAATGCGGGGTCCAGACAATCGATACCATCGGCCCTCGCTGCCGCGAAATTGCTAAGAGATCCGGAAGTGATACATATACTTGGCGTGGCGTGGCGTGGCTTAAAAGCGCCGCTTAATCGCCGTGGATAAAAATCTAACGGCGTCTATTCGAAGGGAGATCCGCGAGGATCTTGCACGGCGATCTAATCGATTCGGCGATCGATTTCCGGGCGGATGCTCTCGCGAATATAGATCTTCCATACGATGGTCTACCAAACCATTGAGCGAGATACCACGCGTCGCGCTGCTAGTATACCGTTTCTACTTTAGTCAGCAAAATAAAGTAGGTAAGCGAGAAGGATTTCGAGCGTGGGCCTGGGGAGCTCAATTGGAAGAGCATTCGCCCGGCAAGCGGAAGGTCCCAGGTTCGAATCCTAGGCGTCGATTCTGTATCTTCCAATTTTCCATTAAATCTTTATTGCTCCCCACGGGGTTACAATCTTTACAATCTTATAATCTAGCTTACACCTAATCTTACACTAAACTTAAAATTAGACCTTAAAATTAGAACTTATATTCTACAAGGGCTAGCGAGTCTGACTCTTAACCCTTCCCTCCGATCGCACACGCAGATCTGTATCTTCTAGTATAGTGAAAATGTAAGCGGGCTAGGACTAGTGACCAGGGGGTCAATTCTGTATCTTACATTATAGTTTGTCTCCTTCTAAGGGGACAGTTAGAGACAAAGCTACTCACTTTTAGCATTTTCACTATAGTGTAAGATACAGAATCGACTCCTTGGTCTAGTCCTAGCCCGTTATTTTTCTCGCCGAGAATTAATAAGTGACCTACCTCCCCGAAGATACACCCCTATTTATTACTATGGATTGCGCCGCTCCTCCCGTGACACGCATCTCGAGAAATTTATTCTTCAATCTTAATCACCCAGTCCATTTCGGAAGCTGCGCTTTTCGTACGGGGGAAGCCAATAACGCGGCAACAAAGACGAGGAATTCTATACGCGACGGCTACTACATAAGCCAACACGCTTTCCCATTGTCGTCCGAATCGCACTGCGCATTATGTTGACCGAAAGACGGACGCTAAATTGCAATGTATAATCTTATTAATGGGACCCAAGCGAGTGCAATTTTGTTGATAACACGGTGTAACGCGTGCCGCCAGCGGAGACGCATTAGTCACCTTGAGAATGGTGTGATAATTGTGTGCTTTTTTTGCAAAGAAAGTTATTTATTCCAACAAATTCGCGCTCGAGACTCGTTTTAATTTGCATACACAATTACATCTTGCATTCTAAATCAAACGCGAGCTTTGTATACGGAAAATTTCAATTTAAACGTCGGGTCGCGGGGAATTGTCGCGTGAATGTTGCATTACAGTTGTTTTGCGCGTTACATTATTTACCTGCGTTACACATTTTTATTTCTCGGAAAAAAGTTAATCTTATTTTGTCCCATTTTTCACCCCCCAGCCCTCGTACTTCAGAATTCGCCGAAATGTAAAAACTTTGCAGTTTATTTATTCCTTTTGGGATGTCAATTGTTCGAGAATCGCCCCATAGAAAAGTAACGCGTTTCACCCCCGGAAGGTTAAAACGCCTTATCTCGGCACGCCGGGTTTCGTTTACTCGTTAAACGGGAACAGCGTCCTCGATGATTGAGGCAAGCTCTTGAAGAATAACGGAAGGTCCGTTGTTTGTCGCTCGGAGTCGATTCAAAACTTCAGTCGCGGAAAGTATGACTGCGAATAAAGTGGAGAGAGAACAATCCAGCTCCCACGGCTCATTTCTGCGAGATTAGACGAATGCATCTCGAGCCGCGGGGGTGAGGGCGGCTGAGCGGCTCCTTTATTCTCGCTGCGAGTAAATTATCGGCAAAATAAAGCGGGCGAAACTTGCGGCGAAACAACCGCCGCGCTCTTATCGTCCTTCAAACTCGGAAACGTTGATGGAATTGGAAGAGCGGCGCGATGCGTGCGTGAGCCATCGCGAAAACCGCCGTGCGTACGCGAAGCGTTTTCGTCCCGGCGTACTTTATTGTCACGAACGCTTCGAGGGCGCACGGTCGGAGGAGAATAAGGTTTATTACTTTCCTAATGGATTTTCGTCCACGGCGATCTACAGACCTAAACTCGTGCCGACTGCCATCCGGAACTTTCACGGGGGGGGGAGGGGGGGCAGGGGTCACTTCTCATTACGCGAACAACCGTGCCGAGACGAACTTAATCGCCGTGAGATTAAGAGGGAAAGCTTTCAAGGCGGCCGTGGTAATTGAGGAGCTCCATCGAGACATTTAAGGAGTCATCCTTTGAACACGAAAATATCGAGGAAGCTTTTACCGAATGGCAAATGACGTTCCGTACATCTCTAATATAGACAGCGTTATCTGCTCCCGGGCATTGATTAAGAAATTGGCTCGTTCATTAAAGGGGAAATGGCGAGGGGGTGGGGGGGCTCAAGTTTTAATAATTTCTAACGATCGTAAAAGCGCGCGACAAATTGAAAATTCTTATAATGAAGGTAGCAATTTATATTTCACGCAGCCCCGTAATTTTGTATACGGCGATATCTAAATGTGCCGAGTGATTATTATTACATGTAGCTCTGTAAATAATTAACGTCACTAAATTACGGTTCAAAATCCTAGCCCAGAATTAATCACGTCAATTAATAATTCATCCTCTCGCCGGAATATACAAACTCGTCCCGGAATACGATGTCCAGCCGCCGCGCCGGTCCCGCGGCCACGAAGGACGAAGGTGGGAAAAAAATTTGGTCGCGGTCGACCTCGGGAGGGAAAGTTCCTCGCGTGTGTTACCGAACGAATTCGAGTGTCATGTCATAATGCAGCGGACGTCGGGCGCCACGCTCTCCGCGGGTGAGATTGAAAGAAGGATCCAGGATCTACGCGAGAGAGAGAGCCGAGGGGTAGGAGGAAAGAGGGGGGCTACCTCTCATCCACTCGAGCGTAGGGTCGTAGGAAGCACGGGCGGCTGCGCGTTAGCCGGTACCGCCGCTAAAACTCCTCCTGGCAGACAAGGGTTGGCGAATATTACGGGGCAACAGTGCGCGGACCGCCACCACGCGACGCGGTTGCTCCTTCGCGGTGCATCGCTCCGAGCAAGAGCGGTACCGAGAGACATCCGTCAGCATCCTCCCCCTCCCCCCTCGAGCACCACGAGAGCAAGTTCGTTGTGGGGAAAAAAAACGAAAATCATCACGCTTGCCATTTCAGGCAGAGAGAGAAAGAGAGAGAGAGAGAGAGAGAGAGAGAGAGAGAGAGAGAGAGAGAGAGAGAGAGGGGGGAGAGAAAAGAGACGATAAATACAGTTGGCAATTTAGACGGAGGCACACGCGTCATGTTTAAAACAAGCTCCAGGGGCGCGACGCGCCGTTCCGTTAATTTACCCGTCAAATTGAGTCCGGGAAATTGCGACTCCACGCTAACTTTTATGAAAACGGCATCGCCAGTGCAATACGAATCACTTCGCCGGGACTGAGGCGATTGTCGTCCCGTCGAGAATTTGACAGCGACGAAGAGCGAATAACGCGATCCGCGAACACGAGGCAATCGAGGACTCATGAAAGATTCGTCACTCGGAATACTGATGCACGGAAGATACACCTTAACTATTTACGCGGCGCCGGTTATGAGAGACCAGCTATTAATTATGTTGCTTTAATCGTTCGGAATAATCTTGAGAGAGAGAGAGAGAGAGGAGAGAGAGAGAGAGAGAGAGAGAGTGCTCCGAAAATATTTAATTACAACGATAGTAGCCGGCGAGTGTCGAGGTAATCCTGAAATACAATCGCTACCGTGGAACAATCAGAGAGGGCGATCCTGCGAGGATCAAAGGGCGGAAGCTCGATTGGACGGTCCAGTGCGTAAATTGGATGTGTCGTGCGATACACAAATTCGACCGGCTACGATGAAGAGTTTCAGCGACACTTTCCCGAAACGGTCGCGGGTCCATTGAGACTAGTCGCGCGAAGTGGCCGGACCGCGCCGGATGCTGGTCCCTGTTGCATGTTAAAAACGGCGCGCCGCTGCGCCCGGACGAGGGTGATCGGAAGGGAATCCCGCCTGCGAAAGTTAGCAAAGAGAATCAATTCCCGGTGAAACCGTGCGCGGAGAAATGTGGCCAGGAGAGGGATGCCGCACAACTTTACGGTAATTCGCGTGCTTATCCGCTTTACCTTACCTTTTCAGGGCGCGCGCCTTAAAGCGGTCAGAGCACTGACGTTAACAGCTCTCGTAGGATCGCGTTTTATCCGTCGTGGCGCGCAATAAATACTCGGGTGTTTAATCCCTCCTGTCTCTGGAATCCGTTTGTCGAAGGCACCTCTCGACGAGTATCGGCAGAAATTTCCAGGCGACAACGCGCGCATTTCGTTGAACGAAATCAACGGTGCTAACAATTTGTACGCGCGAATATGGAACAGCCCGACGGCGATTGCGACTTCACGTTGCAGTGCCGGCAATTAGCAAATTGTTTATTATTAATATCGAAACGTGCTTCAGCGCTACGTGTCATGAAATAGTGATTATGATGACGACAGGTAGAGCAATTACGTAAACAATGATTCAATTTTCGAGCATGATCGCGCGATCTCGTCGGCCAGGGGAGCACGTTCCGTTTGGCGCAACTTGCCCAACGAATTTACGTAACCTTCTCGGCTCGCTTATAATAAACGCGGAATTATCGACGTTTCTCGCGTAATCTACCGCTTAAATGCTCGCGAAGTCACCTAAGCGCACGAAATCATTTTCCCCCCTTAACTTTGCTGATTTTCCTCTCGCGGAATATTAAAACCGGCAACAAACTTGAGGGCCATACGTCTCTCTCTCTCAGATTTTCCTCGCTGCTTCGTGCGTGAGAAGACGCGCGCTTCGTCCGAAACTTCTGCTGGCATGATCCCGCCGACGTCGGAAAACTTAACATCTTCTCAGTGTTTTGGGGCAAACTGCGCTAAAAACTTGGGCGCTCGTGTAGCACGTGAGATGGCCATTGAAATCCAATGTACCGTTTTTCGTAAACTTCCTCAGCAGCAGTTTGCCTTTCCATTTTCTCGAGCGAGGGCCGGTACCGCACGACGGGTATCAATGGCACGGTAAAATATATCGATCGGTCGTTTAGCTTCTCATAAATAACGATTCAATTAAGTTGTGTCATTAAAATGCTAATATATTCGCAGCTGCAAATCAGACAATGCCGAAGACGGAGACGCAATAAATTGCTCAACGTCGCTGACTATCTTCGGCGTTTATTAATTCGATTCTATTGATCTGAACTTAAATGATCCAATCGAAACGTATGCCGATCGGCTCGCAAAATAGCGCACGTTACGCGAGACAAGGAATCGAGAAGCGAAACTGTTACAACTCGTAAGCCACGATTATCTGACTAACTTTGACGCAACCGTAAGCTCAAATTTAATCTCAGTCACATATCGGGTTTGTCTACTGTTTCTATAGAAACTGTCTCGTCGAAACACGCCACGTTCGTCTGTCGAGAAGTTTAGAGATCAGGACGCATCAATCTGGCAACATGTTTCCGTATCGAGCATCGCGTCACGTTCGTTTCACCATTTCAATTTAAATAATAAAACGTCGACCGACGGTTTTAGCGTCAAAAGTTGCAATTTATATTTTACCATATTTTACCATAAAATCAGAGCCGCACGATCGCGATTAATTAGTTAAAAATGAGCCAACTTAAAGAAATCTAAAGTTCAGTCGAGATATATTACGAAAGTTACGTCTTTTAAGACTGACAGATAAAACGGATGGAATCTTTTCTACGTTTACCTTCAATCCGCCGTTAACTGCTTAACAAAAAGTAATTTTCTGAGATGTTTTTTTTACAATCGTTAAGGAGAATGGAGTTCTCTGTAGGTTACTTAAAGGTCTGGATCTCTTCATCCCTCTAATCTTTTCTCGTGCGGCTTCTTTGCATTTTCTCCTTCTTTTAGTTGCCTGGTTACCTCCATTATCCGTTACGCATTGTACTGCTCTCGGGATATTTTATCGTAAGGGAGACACATGTGTAGAAAACAACGTTACAGTAGCTAATGAAGGTATTTCGACAAGATGAATGTCAGTGGCAAATTAGACGAAATTTCCTATTAGCAAAAATATAAAAAAAAAACGCGATCGTGCATTAAGACGCAATCTAATTATAAATTGCACACTTAATATATTGTAATAAATATTCAATTTAATTCCCCGGTTGATTAATCTAGTTTATCACAGTAAGCTTTCAAGTAGGTGTTGGCGAAGCCAATATTCACGTCCCACACATAATTTCGAAGAAATTCCTCTAGGGACTCCGGATACCAGAGATGGCAAACTCCCCGTAATAATTTATTTATTAAATTTTTTAACTTGGATACCTTCGGAAATGATTTTCCAGATTTGACAACCGCCTCCCCCACGACTCGTAAGAATAATCGCACAGGAATCAAGTTCACGGCGAACTTCGCCGAAGTTTAGCCGCGGCGGGACTTGAAAATAATTTGCCAAATACATAATTTGCGAGTATCGCGAGTGCGGTATCCGAAACTATTTTCGACTGTCGTGGCATCGTTACCGCGGACACCACGAGGCATCCGAGGCATATCTTGATCAGACACACCTCACGTATCCCCCGACTTCCGGTATGGACGACGTAAATACCGGAACTATCCGTCTCTACATATAACACATCACTCACCGTCTCTCCATTCGAATTGAATCACCCGCCCGCCCTTCGCCGAGACATACGTGGGACGCACGACCGCAATTTACGGTAGGTCAGGTTCGACGGATATCCACCCCTCCGCGGGGCCTCGTGTCTTCCGCTCTTATGTCAGTCCGAGTCCGTAGCGGAGTATCGGTGCTACCCTTCGCTCGAGAACGTCGAAATAAAATTAGTTTTATTGCGGCGAGCAAGATAATATTCCCGGCCAACGTGGAGTAAATAATGGCAGGGTCCAGAACTGGCGCCTCATAAATATAAAATGATTTATAAGATCGACGAGGAGGAAGGGCGGAAGAGGGTATTGATCATGATTAATAGCGTACGACTAAATGGAGTTCGTTACAGCGGAGGGTGTTAAAACGGACCAAAGTGTGCAATGTGAAAAGCGAGTACGCACGATTGAGACACTCGCCACCGCGCTGGCCCTCTGTACATGCTGTCTTAGATTAATTATCACTCTAAGACTCGTTTAAATTTCTTTTCAGAGGCGAGTGTTTCACTTTCCGTTGACAAGCTTTGTATCACGAATCAGAGGGAAGAATAGAACAGACTCGTGCGCTATAAAATTGCACAAACAAAAAACTTAAAGGAATAAAGGACTAAGAGCCGCGGCAGGGTATTAGTATCTAAATATTTCGTATTTTTAATTTATTGCGAGCAACATTACCTCAGTCAGGGTTTGAACCTGGACCTTCCTCTCACTAGGCGGGCCTCTCAACCAATTCGACCACCGAGGCATACGGAAATATTCATTGTAATAAACCATAGACATAGTAAATATAGACTGAGCGTCCCATTGAATACGCTGAAGCTTGTGAAGAGAGAGACAGGGAAGATTTAAGAAGACTTTCTTTCTCTGTCTCACCATCCTGACAAGGGAGAATCACGCCTGTGTAGTACTGCGCAGGCACGATTCTCTTCTTTTACGATGGTGTAAGACAGAGGAAGAAAGTCTTCTCAAATCTTCTCTCCCTCTCTCTCCTCACAAGCTTCAGCTTATTCACTGGAACGCTCAGTGTAAGGCCGGTATTCATAGTCGATTCTTATTTCAAGATCATCTTAAGTGTTGTCTTAAGAGGCTAATACTCTGTGATTGGTTAAAAAGACATTAAGAGTATACTTAAGATGATCTTAAATATAAGAACGGACTATATTTACCATGTCTATGTAATAAACAGTCTAATGTTGATACCCGAATGCCACCTATCGTGACGGCATTCGAAAACGAGAACTGCGCGCCGACTTAAAAAAACGATGTATTTATAGGAGAAATATATTCTTTTCCTTCCCTACCGGCATTCCCGACGTTAATGTTTTCCAGCCATTTATCATTCTTTTTGTTAGCTGTCATTGGATCATATTAACTTCGTTTGAAATCTGACGTATAGTATACGTGTCGAGCTTTTAGGCACTTTATGTGTATTTGTATACGTATGGTATCATCTAATCGTAATGGAAATCTGATGAAAACGGTGTGATAGATTGGATTGGATATTGTTGAGGAGAAAGAGAGAAAGACGGGCCAATTTATTTGAATGTAATTTAACTTTCATTTGTGTCTTTTAAAGAGCATGTCTTCCGAAAGGGTTATTTCATGGCAAAAATTGCGAGAGCAACAGATTGCCAGGGGTATAACGTGTGCGTATAAATTAATTGCACTTCTCTTGTTATTTAAGCTCGCTGTATCGTCGTTGTCGAGTTGTATAATATGTGTTTAAAACATTTAAGCGAGGTCAACAATTTCGCTGCCCGAGCGAAAAGTTAGCCGGCCCGTTAAGCTACCCTTTGCGATTCTCGTACCGCGGTTGTTCCCACATTGTGCCGGCATTAAGCAGATTATGTGGCCAAGTTTTTCCAGTCTGAGAGAGCAAACGTATGTTTCACCAAACGAGCGACTCGCTTCTTTCGGCGGAGGAGGCGGGCGCCGTTCCCCGAAAATCTCGTTGATTCCGATCCGAAACGAGAAGAGTAGCGTGACAAAATTACAAGATCTGATTCGTCAGATTCGCGCTAATCCGCTGTAAATCCACGAGCCCCTCTTCCACGTCGCGCGATGTAAAAAGAAGAGGAGGAAAGGGTCGACAGCCGCGCGTCTCGAAACATTTCGTGCGCCTTCGTAACAAAGTTTTGGAGCTAACAGTGTTCCTGGCGCACGATACTACCGTGTAACTATATTACGTCTTAATGGATCTTTCGGCTGCGACAAAGGAGCGGCAAATGCCGCTGGACATTTACCTCCGAGCCCCGGCTTGCCATAATTGTAGACGATTGTTGATCGTGCAACAATTTGTATTTGTTAGACGCCCGTCACGGATTGAGGAAGGTTCCAGGTTCGTATCCTGGCTGAGGTAATATTTTTCGCAATAGGAATAATTTACAGTACGGGTATCGAATGCTAATGTAGCGTCTAAAAATGCTAAAATGCAGCATTGTTAATACAATTACAAATCGTTTATCGATTTGAATATGTGAATTTGCTGACGATAATAACTCCAGCTGTAAGAAAACTGCGTTATGTCCGAAAAGAAACCGGCGCGCAGGACAGGTGTGGAAAGAAACGGTATATGAATTCACATTTTTAATCAATTACAAGTACAGACTATCTACATCTTGCCTTAGACTCGCATTGGCCATTCTTGTGTGTTGTTTAATTTGTATTTGTACTCTCTAAAAGTCAATCAGTGGATTATCACTGAAAACAGTGATTACTCATTGACTTGCAGTTAAAAGTGTACCACTGAAAGTCCCCTATGAGATAGGTTCCTAATATGAGACAGAGGAGTCTCTGCAAAATTAAGAGGCATCATCTGTCGGTTCCAGCATGAATTTATTGCCCTTGGCGTGAAATCTGTTTAGTGGAAAATTGATTGTTAGATCGTGTGATCGTTGCGAAAAAAAGATTTGCGATTGAAAACCTACTACTAATCTCACGTTAATTCGATCTCATAATAGAGAACTTTTCTCTACTTATAACTCGACGATCATTCACTGTTCTTCTGTGATAATCCGCTGATTGACTTTCCGAGAGTAACAATTGCGCAGAGGCTCCAGATTGTCGCGTCAATACGAATTCTATTTCTGCACTCCGTCTTGACCGCGCAATAATAACGCGGATAAAACGCGTTCAGCCCGAAGACTTCTCTAATCTCGTTCGAGACCCCATTACCTGCCGATGGAAATCAAATTACTGCGGCAGCTTAGCTCTGACCGCTTTTCTTTCGCAATCTTGCCCCGTGATATATTTTCAAATACGCCCCGATATCGTTAGACGTCCCGCACGTTCCATTGTACGCGGAGATGAATATCGACTACTTGTTATTCAATTACAAGTCAGATATTATGAATATCGTTACAAACGACGTTACACCCCTGGCAATACTTGATATTTTTATTGGCCTCGACGCTTAGTGCAAGCGGGTCTTCGTGCAATCCGAGAAATAATGTGTACACGTTAAACCCTTAAGTCTACACATTACCGCTCGTTCCGTGCGTAAGTGTAAGGTCTCCGTAAAAAAAAAGAAACGGGATTAACGAGTCCTGATACGGGGGTGAGCTTTAAATTCTTAGCGTAATTAAAGAGAAGCCCCCAAAGTGGCTCGTAAATGTAATACAGTGTCGCAGTTATATTTCCCGGGGCGTAATACCGCCATCTGAATTTCATTTGTGCTTGCTTGCCAATTTAATGAAATTATTTCATTCCCGTAAGCCTATTACATTTGGAATCGAGAACGTCGAATCTTCCAAGTGTAAAATCGGCCTGGCGTGATATCGGGTTAGCCGGTCGGGAATTTACGTATGAATATTTTCCATTAGCAGATTACTTTATTTTCCAATTACACGGCCGGGCTTCGTCACGATCGCCGTGGCCCGATAATTATCGTGAATTATAATTAGGGCGTATTGCGCACCGCCTGTCGCGAAAACGGGTCTTAGACGGGAGCGAATGCGGATTAAATGTAAAATACTTACTTAGGCGGAAAAACGACGGAACTTTCCCTTTGCGCGAGACGTACGGAAGCTCTCGATGCCGGGTGGAGAGCGTTATCTGTGCCACAAGTGAATAAACTTTTCGCCTATAAATAGCGAGAGGCTCAAATAGTTTGGCGAGTTACCTGATTTATCCGCGAGTACTTTTTCGATCTCGGAGATGGAGAGAAAGAACGCAATAAAAAGAGCACTCCGGTTCGATATCGATTCTGCGTGCACACGAAGAATTATCTACCGTCTAAGGCCCGGTTTCACCAACCTTGTTCAGCTTTAAGCTTAGCTTCATCCGACTTTGGTCTCTTTCCAACTGTTACTTTAGAAAGAGACAAACGTGAATTAAACCAACGTCGAAGTTAAACGACGTTTGGCGAAGCCGGGCCTAAGCGTCAGTCGCGTTCGCCGGTAGAGGACGTAGAGGAAACGCCTGAGAAAAATGACTTGTATGTACGACATTACACAAACTCCAGAAACCACTGGGATCGTGTCAAAATCAAGCCTGGCGAAAATTGATTGTCCGCGAAAAGAAACCTTTATTTTCAATCGCGCTTACGACCCACGTAATACATGGCGCGTGTAACGTTATCGATTTGACACACATCTTGCGACGCGGACTCTCACGACACGGTCCCCTCTTTTTTTTCGTTGCAGATGAGGAGGAACCGGAAGAGCGCCTGGAGTCGTCACAGAATCGACGACTGATTATGACGCGCGTCCGCACGCGGTGGCATTTCTCTCGTCTCCTCCTGTTGTTCTCTTCCTCCGAAGCCCTCCAGGCACGCCACTGCCTGACCCTCCTCCTTCTCGGCCTTACCTCTCTCCGCACAGCCCTGTCGTGCGACGAGAAGACGAGGCCCCAGAGCCGTGACCTGAGCGCGCTGCCCCGTTACTTTGAAGTACGGAGATACCCGGAGCGGAGAGACCTCGGCGCTCCCAGAGTGATCCCGGAATGGATGCAACGCGAAAACGAAGCTTCAAGCATGGCCGGTCAAAGTGCTAGCGACGTGGCCAGTGACGATCATTCCGGCGATTCGCCGGAAACTCAGAGGGACTGTGACGGATCCGATCCGTCGGTGACGAAGCAGGCCTACCCCGACGATGACGTTCTCGCGAGTCGCGTTAACGATCAGGAACCGCGCTCTGGAACCGCGAGCGATTACCCGGGACGGAAGTCTGGCGAACGATTAAGCGATCCCGCGGGCACTCGGCGGGTCCGCGGCGGAATCAGTTCTCAAAGTATGAAGCAGCGCGAAGAAAGTGCGAACAATTGGTTGGGCAATCAGCTTGGGAAGCGGCGCGGTGTGCCGACGCTTCAAGTTACTTCTCGTCGCGCATCGGTGAATCGGGCTGTGAACGAGGTCCAATTTCGCGACGGTGATAACGAAGCGGGCCTGGCGACTTCGGGCGGATCTCACCCGAGTGTCGGCGATCTACCCGAGGACGCCGAGGACGCGTCGATCGAGGCTCCGACCGATCGATCGTATTCTCGCGAGGCCTCAAGTGTCGGTCGTCTGACGGGGAGTCGGCGGGATCGCGGCGGCGGAGCCAGCTCCGAGGCGGAGCGAGCGGGTCTAAGCGCCGATAATTTATTCGCCGAAATTCCCGCCAGCCGCGCGAATGAACGCACGAGCGATTATCCGGGCCGACGGAGTTCGCGCGGCGATATTGACGCCGCGCCGCAGCACCGCGACGTTCCCGCGGCTGATCGAAGCGATCGCGGGATTGTCGGCTTCTGGGTCGCTAGGCAAACTCATTTAAGCCGCCGCAATACCTACGCGCTTGATAATCGGGGCGGCGGTATTGCGCGCGGCTCCGAGAGCGACTCGGCCGAGCGGCTTCACGAGAGCGACGGTACCGTAATAAATGACGTTATTCGTAATGAGTTCGCGAGCGCGAACGATTCAGACGTCGATGCAATCGCGATTGACGACTTGGACGTCGTGGGCGCCGTCCCAATGGAGAACCAGGTCGAACTCGGCGGAATTTCGGAAATCGGGAATCGGACCGGCGTCGACCCGGATCTCGGCGGGGCGGCAATTCGCCCCGCGAATTGTCGCAACGTCGCCTGCTCCAAGTCGAGCGACGAGGACGACAACGACGACGACGACGACGACCTGTCGGTAATTAGAATAAAGAAGTTCGGTACGGAGGAATCCAACGGGGATCGAGGATACGAGGACGAGGATCGTTCTGCGCGGGCGGGCGAAATATCGACGGCGCCTGGCAACGACAGCGATACCGATATCGACATCGACAGCGAGGCGCCTTTCACCGGTTTCGAGGGCTCTCAGAAATTTCCCGTAAAAATCAATCACAAGTCGCCGCCGTCGGTGCAAGTCGAAAAGTTTGACAGGCGGCACTTCGGCCCGCATAAGGAGGACGTACTTGAAGAAACATCTACGTGGTACCCGAGCACCGTGCTTCCCGACCTACCGAAGAGCCCCAGCAGAGACGTGCTTCCTCGCAAGACGAGCGACGGCTCCGACGACGTCGCGGACGAGGTGGACGAGGCGGACGATGTCGGCGAGGGGACGACGGAGATGGACGCGAGGCGGAACGATACTCGTGACGAGTCGCGGCCGCCCGGTACCGACGTACCGGAAGGACACTTGTCGGTGATCGAGTCCACCCCTGACGAGAGACTCGCGGTGACCTCGAACGTCACGGGCAGTGAGCTCGAGAAGGCGACGCGCGACAAGAACTTTTCCGACGGCACGGCGAGGATATCGAGTGCGGAACCGATAGCGAAGATAAACGTAACTATCCTAGGACTTTTCGAGATGACGCACAGGGTCTCGTCGAGACCGGAAGGAGCCAGCGAGCTTCAAGCGGCCAAACTGGCTGTCGAGCGTGTCAACGAGTTGGATATCTTAAAGCGCTTCCGTCTGCGACTCATTTACAATGACACCAAGGTGAGTTTCTAGCCAGAAAACCGTTGCGGCATTTTAGTTTTTAAGGCTCGATTTCACCGACGTCGCTTAACTTTCAGTTTAATTCATCCTTTGTTTCTTTCCAACTGTTCCCTTAGGCCAGTTCTACATTGATCGTATCGTATCGTCGCATGCGTCGCAAATCATAGATTCGACCAATCAGCGTTGAATTAGAACCAGTCTACGACCTCACATTCGATGGTGATAGGTCACTGTCTTAAATCTTACGTCTTAAAAATCTCATTGCAGACGCCGCAGTAGAAAGAGACAAACAATGAATTAAGCTTGTGAGATTAAAGTTAAGCGACGTTGGTGAAACATGCGAGAAAATGCAGTTTACTTTTAAACGCGTTTTAATTAAATAGTATGAACTCGTCTTACACAGAACGTTAGGTTTTAATAAGCTGAAAAACGAATGCCAGCGGCGCGCAAGTCCGAGATAAAAATTGTACAGCGAAGAGGCGAATTAACGCAAGAACAAATGAATGCTGATTCCGTTTGAAACAATTCTGTACTTCCGCATCATTACCGTCCTCGTTTGCAATTGATTTCCGTGTCCGATTACCGATACAGGACTGCTCCGTGAAATCGTACCAAATCCATTCGACTCTGTCTTGAATCCCGGCAGCAAGAAATTATTGGAACAACGCAATTTAACTTATACAACTCGGAATGAATTATCAGCTTACTCCGTTATACATTTTGTTCCGGTAAATATTGAAAAATACCGACTACTCGCAAATCGATTCCGTTTCGTAAGTCAACCGAAGCCGATCGTAGCAGCATCGCGATGAAAGATACATGGAATTTTCTCTTAAAATTCGCCCTGAAAATTACGTAATCGTGGGACAACACGGCGTCCCGAAGAATTTTATGAGTTTCTTTTTAAAGAGGGAGATCCGGGTTCAAATCCAAGCAGAGATATTAGTTTTCGCAATGGACATAAATTTAAAACTATAACGAAGTCGATTGCCTGCACTAGTGCGCGCTGAGTGCACACTAAGGCCTGTTTATAGTCAATTCTTATATTTAACTTTGTCTTAAATACATGTTCAAAAAGCATTTGGCCAACGCATGATCCGCGTGGTTGCTATACAGATCATTTTACTGGCCACGAAATATTTCAAGAGATATTTAGGACGATCCTTGAATATAAGAATTGACTGTAAACAAGTCCTAGTGTGCGCTCAGTGCGCACTAGTGCGCCTTTTAAAATCACGCACGGTACTCTTGATTTTGTTTGACTACCTACTGGAACAAGATAGACGAGACGTTAATAGGATTTCGTCGAATATGCGTTAAGTTGGAAAAAGCGGGGGCAGGAAGCGAGAATTAAAGACCGGGCAAATTTCTCAGATCCTCCCAGTTGTCGCCGACACGTTGCGCCGGGATTCTCGGGGCTTCCAGCCTGAGATTTATAGTTTATTGGCAGCGGACCTCTTGTCTTGCCGCCCGCACCCGTCTTCCCGCTATCGCTTTAAACGCTTTGGAAACGGTACCCGCCGAAAAATTGAGGAACACGACTAGATGATGGCTATTGACGTCACCGGTTACCTCGTTACACGAGCGACGTTAAGCTCACAGAGGCAATAATAATTTCAGCGGAGTTACTTCTTTCTCCGCTGGTCAAATCTGCGGAATATATAGACCGAGCGTACAGCTCTCTGCGTAAAACTTGGATCGTCGAATCTATGTATATCGGCAAACTTTTTACCAATTTTTTCTGCACCGGTGCTTAAATCACACCGTGCCTACCCGGTGGTGATCAGACCTCTCGGCAGAGATGAGATAGAGTCTGCTATTAGAGAATCGACCGTGCGGAAATATCGCTCGGGACTCGTTCCCCGCGCGTCTGTTGTCGTAATCCGTGAAAAATCGACCCACGTTTGTGCGATACCATGTATTATAATACGCTTATGCGAGGCGTATGATGAGATATGCAAGAGCTTCACGCGCGCGATTACTTTGACGTTATCACGAGAATGCCGCGTAACGCGCGATATAAGGAAACACTGTATGGATTTGCATAATGTAAGGCATAACAGGGTAGAGGGGGCGGGAGGGGGCGAGATACCGCGAGAACGCGTCAACGTACCGATAAGGCGTGAGATGGATAATTTACCTCGCACTTGACGACAGAGAGCGTGCGCGATTAATCTCGGATTTGTGATTTTTAAGCCTCTGAGCTACCGGCGTCCTGTCTAAGCCTCTCAAACTACTCCTAATCTCCGCGCAGCTCGCAAATTCTCCGTCTGCGCGACAACATCGCATGGTCCTCCGGCGACAAGCCGCTGTCAGATGCCTCGCCTCGAAACAGCTTTGAATATCTTCTGGCAGCGCGACCCAACTACCATACGCGTTCCAACAGTTTACGGTCCTTCTAGCGCGTACGAAATACTCTTCGTAATGCTCGCTCGCGTTGCTCTTTGAAATTTAACGACGGCGATCGGTTCTCGCACCCGTCCTGAGGTTGCACAGACTCGCGCCAATGAAAGCCGCTTAAAAGAAGAACAATATCAACGGGCGAAATGCATATTCCGCGCATTTCAGAGGTGGAGTAATTTCAGCACAAGCGACTCGGACGTTGGAAGGGTCTCGCGTTCTCGCGTAAATATATACTGAGCAAAAATGTAACAAGTCCAATTAAGATACTTCTTTACGTTGTAATCAAAGACATGGTAAGAATAGGCCGAGTGTACCCTCTTGTAAGCATTGAAGAACAGGTAGAAAAGGATTTCTCTCGCTTTCTCTTTTTATTCGCGTCTGCGCAGTGAGGTACAGACGTGTGACGTATACAAATATAATGTACGCACATGTGTAAAATTAATCACACGCTCAATTGTCTCTCCACTCTTTTTCACACTCCCTCTTTCTTCTCGTTAGAGACAGAAAAGTGCATGGTACAGTGATGGACAGAATGGTTGCGACACTTTTTCAAATGAGTTTAGGAACGCGCGCTTATAGATTCAGGTTTACGTTCCAAAACATTTTTTTTTTCGAGAAAAATTTTACTTGAGAAGTAGATCGAGAACGCTCCACATGGTTTCGTCCATCGAGTAAAATATTCTTCGGGGATGATTTTGAAATGTAACCCTGAATATCTAAATGCACGTTTCCTAAACTCACTGGAAACCAAGTGTTGCAACCATTATGTTCATCACTGTATCTATTGTCAGTTTCTTTCTACTGAAGGAGACGCTGGAGTAATACTACACTTTTTGCACCTTTTGCTCCTCGAATTGTCAATTCGTGAAAACATTTGTGTAATACGCGAATTATAAGACTTGTGTACAAATCAAAAGTGTTCCACTATTTGGACTAAATCAGAGAACAGCGTGGTATCATTGAAATTTAGTTTAGAAGCCTCTATTCACTTAAATAAGTTATAGGGACCCTAATCTATAACTCATTTAAGTGAATAGATTTTTTGTTAGGCTTCTAAATTTAATTTCAATGATTCCATGCTGTTCTCTGATTTAGTCCAAATAGTGGGACACTGTCGGTCTGTACACAAAAGCCACATAATTTGTATATTACACAAATGTTTTTTTCATGAATTGACGATTCCAGATGCAAAAGGTGCAAAAAGTGCAGAATTACTACAGCATCCCCTTAATCTTCAGATTTCAGACCTTACGCTCGGTCTATTTTTACTATGTCTATGACTGTAACGTATTGTAACGACCCTACAGACGCTAACAAAATGGCGTGAGATCACTACGCAGACAGATCTTGCTTTTTCACTTTTATCGTCCTCTCGTCTCCGTTATAATTTATGTCTCCGCGTGCGCCTTGCACCGCGTCGCTCGAAAATGGCGAAATCAGCACATCGAGTGAGATCTCCAGCATCCTCGATAGCGCTTCGACACACACGATGTGTCTCGTCGAGTGAGAAGTCATGACGCGCACATATGTGAATACATTCTTCACGTTCGCCGGAGGCGGAGCTCTTGTGATGTCGGCTCCATATTTCTTCGCTAAAATATTTCACGATTATTCTAATACTTTAGGATTAGACTTTGTCCGTTTGAAAAAGAACCTGCCGCCTGTCGAAATGATCTGTCGCCAGATCCACCGCGTCACAGCGGCCCGACGGGAAAGAGAAGTCTCCTTTCCGGCACCCGGAAAGATTCGTTAGTCCATTCCGGTTCGATTCGCGCTCCGACGGCCGCCTGAAATTCGGGCAGATTTCCAGCGAATTGGCGAGTGCGCTGGCGAATGCATACCGAGTGCAGCTTACGAGGCAAACTGAACCTCGTGTTTACCCTAAAAGAGGGAGAGCAAACGGCGGTAATGAATTGCGGTTTGGTCACGAACGCGGCGCGATTAAGCCCACGTTTTGTTTCGTCCGCGTTTGGATGAAAGCAAAGCGCCGAGAATTACCGCGCGTTTGAAAGTTCACACTGTGGTACGCCTCCGCAACATTAAATCCTAAATAGTTTTGCGCATACGCGGCGTTTATTTAATGGAGCGACGGTCGCCAGTAGTTACAACACCTGTCGAGCTCCAACTGGATCTGCAATGATGCGAGTCGAAATTTTACGACGTATATTAATATTATAAATTTGTAACGTTATGCATTTCCATCGTCGTCGTCGTGTATTTTGCAATTAACGAGCACTTGTGAACGGGAAAGTTCGTAATTCATCAGAAAAACTGACGTAAAGGCCGTTCGCTTCTTTTTTTCCCGAAATCCTCACTGACGTTGATAATCGCGAATGGGCGAGCTATCCTTTTAAAATTTCATAACGTATCATCGTTAAGACGCATTGTATCCCGTGTACAAAACCGAATGACGTGCGTGATCTTAACGGAGTAGTTAAAAGCGGGAATTGAAGGCAACTGTTGAGTCTCTTAAATTAAAGGACTTACGAGAGCTCCCTAAAAGATTGTTTAAAGAGCTCTTGAAACACGGAGTCTTGCACATTAATTTGTAAAGTTGTCACGATTATCGTCGTTCACATCCTGCACTTGATATACAA